TATCAATCTTTCTCTTTTTCGTTTAAACCTTTTGTGTTTTTACCTATCTTGAACCATGAAGATATTTTCCGTTGTTTTTCTTTAAGTTTTATTGTTTTCTTTTATATTTTTATACCTGTAATTTACCTGAAATTGGTAGATTTCTTTTCTGTCTGTTGTGGGGTATGGGTAAAGATTAAGTTTTTTTTTTTTTAATATGGATACCTAGTTGATCCAGCACAATCTGTGGAAAAGGCCATCACTGCCCCAGTGCACTGCAGTGTTACTTGTGTCATAAATCAAATGATGGCATATGTATCAGTGTGTTTCCTGATTATCCTGTTCCACTGTTTGTTTTTTTCACTTGTACTGATATCACACCATTTAGTGTAATTAAATTTATGGTAAGTCTTAGTCCACTTCCATAAAAGAATCCTGTGAATATATTGATTAGAAATGCACTGATTCTATAGATCACTCTGGGTAAAACTGGTATCTTTACAATACTGAGCCTTCTAATTCCTGAATATGGTATATCCCACCATTTATTTAAATCTTGTGTCATTAATATTCTATAGTTTTCTGTGTGGTGTTGAGTGATCTTGTATACTTTTCAATTTCTTACTAGGAATACGATGATTTTTGATGCAATTGTCAATGATACTACTTTGGAAATTCATAATTCATTGTGTCTAAAATTCAGAAATGCAACTGACCTTATATCCAGCAACTTTGCTAAGTTTATTCATATTAATTTTAATGTTTGGCTAGAGATTCTTTTGGATTTTCTATGTTCACAATCATGTCATCTGTGAATGACAGTTTAAATTCCTTTCATTTCTTCTTTTTGCCTTATTGTACTGCCTAGGACTTCCCATATAATGTTAAACAGAGGGGATAATAGAGATAACTCAAAGGGAAAGCTTTCAATAATTTACCAACAAACAAAATGTTTGCTTTAGGTGTGTTTTTAAAAAACAGATAGTCCTTACCAAATTAAGGAATTTCCCTGCTGTTCCTAGTATGTTAAGAATTTTTGAAGAATCAGGAATGAAGGTTGACTTTTATTATAAAGTATGATGCATTTTTTGACAGACTAAATATAGAGGCAAAGTATCTCAACATAATAAAGAATACACACACACACACACCACACACACAGATAGGTGACAAGCCCACAAGCTAATCTCATCTCTTCTTCAACAACAAGAAACTTAAAGTTTCTCCTCTAAGATGGTTTTTCCTCTAAGATCAGGAACAAGACAAAGATGCCAATACCTCACCACTTTTATTCAACTTGGCATTAGAAGTCCTAGCCAGGGGGCACCTGGGTGGCACAACAATTAAGCTTCCAACTCTAGGTTTCGGCTCAGGTCACGATCTCAGGGTCATTAGATTGAGCCCCACGTCAGGGTCCACGCTTAGCGCAGAGTATGCTTGAGGATTCTCTCCCCTCCTCTCCCTCTGCCCCTCCTGCTCATGCTCTATCTCTCGCTCTCTAAAATAAATAAATAAAACTTAAAAAAAAGAAAAAGAAAAAGAAGTCCTAACCAGGGCAATGAAACAAGGAAAAAAAGCATAAAAACTGGAAAGGAAGAATTTGAGCTGTCTCTATTTGCAGATGACATGATAATATGTATAGAAAACCCCAAAGACTCCACCAAACACCTCTTTGAACTAATAAATTCAATAAAGCTTAAAGACATAAAATCAATATATAAAAATCTGTTGTTTCTATACACCAATAATGTATTACCAAAAGAGAGATTAAGAAAATAATCCCACTTACAGCTGCATCAAAAGAAATAGAATACCTAGAAATAAATTTAACCAAGTAGGTAAAAGATATGTATACTGTAAACTATCAGATATTGATGAAAGAAATTGAAGACACAAATAAATGAAAGGATATTCCATGCTCACGGATTGCAAGTGTTAACACTGTTAAAATGTCCATACTACCGAAAGCGACCTGCAGATTCAGTGTAAGTGCTATCAAAATTCCAATGGCATGTTTACAGAAGCAGAAAAAAAAAATCTTGAAATTTGTATGGAACACCAATCCCAAATAGCTAAAGCAATCTTGAGAAAGAAGAAAAAAGCTATAAGTATCATACCTCTTGATTTCAAACTATTTTACAAAATAACAGTAATCAAAACAATATGGTATTGGAATAAAAACAAACACACTGATCAACAGAACAGGATAGAGAGCCCAGAAATAAACCCATGCATATATGGTCAATAAGACGAAGAGCCAAGAATATAAATGGGGAAAGGATAGTCTCTTCATGAAATAGTATTAGGAAAATCAGACAGCAACAGGCAAAAGAAGGAAACTGGATCACTTTCTTACACCATATACAAAAATAAATTACAAAATAGTTTAAAGACTTGAGGAGTGCCTGGGTGGCTAAGTTGGTTAAGTGGCCAACTCTTTTTTTTTTTTTTTTAAGATTTATTTATTTATCAGAGAGAGAGAGAGAGCATGAACAGTGGGGAGAGGCAGAGGGAGAAGTAGGCCCCCCACTAAGCAGGGAGTCCGATGCAGGGCTCGATCCCAGGACCCCGAGATCATGACCTGAGCGAAAGGCAGACGCCCAACTGACTGAGCCACCCAGGCACCCCAAGTGTCCAACTCTTGATCTCAGGGTCATGAGTTGGGCTCCAAATAAGTCCTTAAAAACTATTAAAGACTTGAATGTAAGACCGGAAACCATAAAACTCCTAGAAGAAAACAAAAGCAGTAAGCTCCCTGTTACCAGTCTTTGAGTGATGATTTTTTGGATTTGACACCTAAAACAAAGGCAAGAAAGGGAAAATAAACAAGTGGAACTACACATCAAACTAAAAACTTCTGCACAGCAAAGGAAACCATCAACAAGATAAAAAGACAACCTGAATGGGAGAAAAAATTTGCAAATCATGTGTCTGATACGGGGTTAATATCCAAAATATATAAAGAACTCATACAATTCAATAGCCAAAAAACCATTAACTATCCAATTTAAAAATGGGCAGAGGAAGTGAATAGGCATTTTTCCAAAGAAGACACACAAATGGCCAACAGGTACATGAGAAAGTACTCAACATCACTAATCATCAGGGAAATGCAAATCAGAACCACAGTGAGCTGTCACCTCTCACTTGTTAGAATGGCTATTATCAAAAAGACAAGAGATAAAAAGTGTTGGTGGAGGGTATGGAGAAAAGAGAACACTTGTGCACTGTTGGTAGGAATGTGAATTGGTACAGCCACTGTGGAAACCAGTACGGAGGTTTCTCAAAAAATTAAAAACAGAACTACCTTATGATCCAGCAACTCCACCTCTGGATATATATCCAAGGGAAACAAGGTCACTACCTTAAAGAGATATCTTCACCTCCATATTCACTGCATCATTATTTATTATATTTATTTTATATTTATTATAGCCAAGTCATGGAAACAACCTAAGTGTCCATGAGTGTATGAAGAGACAAAGAAGATATGGTATTTTCGTACAATGGAATATTATTCAGCCACAAGAAAGAAGGGTATCTTGCCATTTACAACAACATAGATAGACCTTAAGGGCATTATGCTAAGTGAAATAAGTCAGAGAATGATAATTATTGTACATCACTTATATGTGAAATCTACAAAAGTCAAACTCATAGAAACAGAATAAAGGGTGGTTATGAGGGATTGGTGGGGGAGAAGGGAAACACAAAATGTGGAGATGTTGGTTAAAGGGTACAAAATTTGGACAATTAAGAGACAAAAAAAGTTGCATAGGGAAAGGAACTGGAGGAAGGGACTACAATACAATTAAGATGTGATCAGAAGACAAAAGGAGATCAATTTAGAGACAGCAAATAATTTAGGTGGAAAAGAGTTAGAAGCTAAGGTTGAGGGAGTAGGGGTTGGGGTTGGGGGAACTTTGACCACCAGGATGAATTTAGACAATGGAAGTCCCTAGAGGTTTTGGGTAGAGACACAATGAAACCACTTTATAATAAGGTTAATTCTGGGGTAGAACTTACCATGGAAAATATGGGAACAAAGTGATGCAGGAATACCACTTACGAGTTTTTAGGAGTAGTCTAGATGTATAGTGTTGGTGAGAGAAAGAGAAGAAAATATGGGAGAGTTTAAAGAAAGAATTGCTAAGATCTGAGGACTAAATGGATGTAAGGAGTGATCATGTTCAATTTGGAACATGTTATATTTGAGGAGATTACCCTATATTCAAGTAAGAGAGGTTCAGTAGACAGGTAGAGACATATGGGACTAGAGCTCAGGGAAAGGATTAGCACTAGAAATATAAATGTAACCAAATATCATAAAAATTATTTTTTATTATCTTTTTTCTAAAGATTTTATTTATTTATTTGACAGAGAGAGAGAGAGCACAAGCAGGTGGAGCAGCAGGCAGAGGGAGAGGGAGAAGCAGGCTTCCCACTGAGCAGGGAGCCCGATGCAGGGCTCGATCCCAGGACCCTGGGATCATGACCTGAGCCGAAGGCAGACGCTTAACCGACTGAGCCACCCAGGCGTCGCTTTTATTATCTACCTTTATTATTTAGTGTCTACCTTTACTAAGCAATAATATTAGTAACTTTCTTTTCCTTTAAGGCTTTAGGTCAATAGGAGATAAATCCAATTTTCTTCCTTAGATCACTAGACAATAATTTTGAAATAATTAAGATGATAATAATAACTAATATTTATTGAGCACTTACTATACGCTAACCACTGTTCTAGGTACTTCACATATGTCACCATATTTACAACCATTCTATAAGATACAATCACTATCTCCATTCACAGGTGAGGAAATTGAAACACACAGAGGTGTAGTCACTTGCCTAATGTCACAGAGCTAGTCAGCAGCAGAGCCAAGATGTGGACTCAAACAGTCTAGCTCTCCTCAACCACCACATACATAACATCTTAGCAAATAATCACACTAAAATGGTTTAGGGTTCAATTCTCCTTCATCTTCTAGAGCTATTTGGAAAGGTTTTAATATACTTACTTGTAATGTATTTGTATCCCACACTTTCAGAGTTTTATCAAATGAACTTGATGTGAACATGCCAGTGTCATGAGGATACCACTGTACAGTCTCCACACTATATTTGTGAACATCAGGATGGTTTCTACAAAACAGCGATCAAAATTTAGAAATACTTGATTTACGTGAGTTTCAATACTGATACTGTATTAACAAGTAGCAGTCTCAAGTAGGACAATATGAATGGCCAAACCTAGATCACAGGCCTGCATCCCAGCTCTCCAGAGGACAATGTCCAGGCAACTCTAGTTTCAGGCTTCTGTAGTGTAATGTGGAGGCCCGCTTCCTACTAAGGCTTATTAAATGGGAAACTTCCTATTTCTGTATTTGAGCCTAGAGAAAGTAGCTGGCTACACTGAACCTCTTCATGGAGAGGGGCAGTGATTTTTCCATACTGGAAGAGATACCCATTCTGGTTTTGGATATGCTTTTCCCAAATACCATTTAACAGTATTATCATTCTTAGAATTGTTGAATGCCTCACATAGTTCCATGGTATCCCACGCAATATTGCTTCTGATCAAGGAACTTACTCAATGACAAAAGAATGCAATTAATTGGTAGATGTTCAAGGCACCACTCTTATGTAACCCATCACCTGTAGAAGCATGATCTGTTGAAGACTCAAGTTATGATATCAGCCATAATACACTACCTTGTAAGGGTGACATGCTGTCCTAAAGGAAGCAGTATATGCTCTGAACCGGTGATAAATACAGTATATGTGTCACTTTACTAAATTTTAATACACAAAAACTGGCTGTTAACTAACCCTTATAAGACAATGATGGAAATTTGAACACCAAGTAGATATTTAATATGAGGAATTATTGTGTGAGATAATAAAATCTCTATTTTTAGAGATATAAACAATAATGAATGAAATAAAATGCTTCTGGGATAATCCTCAGTGGGTGGGTGGGGTTAGAGATGAAACAAGACTGGTTATGACTGATACTTGCTGAAGCTGTGTGATGGGTACATAGTTCACTATACTACTCTCCTCTTTTGTATATACTGGAAATTTTCCATAACAAAATAAACAAACAAAAGTTAACAGAAGATTATTGCAATCCTACACAGATAGGACCATCATGAGTTCTGATCCCTTAAGGTGAAGGTTTGGATCAATACAGGATGAAGTACCTTAAGCACTTGAATGAATGAGAACATGAAGTAAAGCCTTAAAGTGTTAGTTCTGGCATTGACAGAGCTGCAAAAAAGGACTATAGTGTCTACCCATAATTCCTTTCTATGTCATGTGTAATTTATATATTTTAACTGATTTCCCTTTTCTTTCCTCTCTCTTGCCTCCATTATTTTATATAAGTTAACAACAAACGGAGTCCACAGGTTGAATAATTTGATAAAAGATCATGTAAAACTAATGAAAAAATGGACATTATCTTGAACTGGAGCTGGATATGGTAATTAAGTAGACTGAGGATCTATCACCTTTGGGGAAAGGGATGATTACATTTTGGTTGTGTAGTGGATACTTGCCTTTTTGGTTGTGGAGTAGATACTTGGAACTTTTTTTTTTAAGTTGGATCCAAACTCCTCCTATTTGGGGGACATCTCCCTTATTTTATTGCTTCTTGTTACAGAAAGCTAGTGACTCCAGCCATTGTCTTTCCCTCTCCCTTGGCAGTAAGGGCATGGACATATGGTTTAAGGTTCCCCAAACCTGCCTGGGACTCTAAAACTCCAGCTAGTAATGCAAAACTCAGGGATATTTAACAATTATTCATAGTCATGAAGTTGAGAGTCTGTGTTGGTGACATGTAGCAGAACCCAAACTAAATTGTTCCTGTGGTGGACTCCAACTGTTGTCTTTGCCTTAGTTTCTCTTACCTTCCACTCCTTTCCACATTTTATTCCCTTACCTTCCCGCCATTTATATGAGATACTATCTTTCCAATAAATTTCTTGTTTAAGAAATTTATTGTTCTCCTTAAAATAAGGAGAACTGATTTCTATTTGCTCCTAAGAACCTTCAGGTATACCAAGATTTCCAGTTATAGTAAAACAAATCTTTAATGTAGTGATTAAAAATAAAATCTCATTTATATTTTAAATTTAAATTTAAGAATAGGACAAAATATTATATTATTATCTTACCAGGTATGACCTGTTATTCTCATTCACATTTAATGAGGATTTTGGTACAGAAAGGGAATCTTTTTGGTGCCTAAGAACATATGTATTAAGTAAAGCAAAAATAAATATCAGCAAACACTCTAAGCCATATTAACTTAATAAAAATTTTTAGTGAAATTATTTTGTAAAGTTAGATTATAAAGTCTTCAGATATAAAAAATGCTACTTTAACTCATTTTGCAAACATGCTCACTGTATGCCCATTTACATTCAAAGATATGATTTTAAAGAAAGAGAGGGAATCCAAGAAGAATGTCATGGTAAAGCAAAAGATTGAAACACTAAGCATTTACTTGACTTTAACTACCAGAAAAGTAAATCACAGTTCCTCAGGAATAACATTAGACAGCATGTAGTATATATGAAAATACTATTTTGATATGTAACAAATTAAACAACATTAAAATGCTAGCTAAGATAAAAGAAGAAAATGAACTAAATGAATTAATATGACTATCTTACACTTTAGAATTTAGGGGTTTTTTTTGGTACAAGTGGAGTGAGAGTATAAAATGGTGTAAGCCTCTTAGAAACCAAGTTTCAGACTATTTGAGGTGTTATCTTTGTGTACCAAGTGTCCCTATAATTATATTGCTTTACAGAGTGGCCTTACGGTTTTTAACATGCTTTTTAAAAGACAATATTTCATTTAAGACTCACAAAAACCTTACAAGAATGACAGGACAGGTATAATTATCTCTAAAACAAAATAATCTGAGGTTCAGAGAAAGAGTGTCCCAAATCTTTACTTCCAAAGTGAAGCACCAGAGCCAAGAAACAATCGCAAATCTCCTCCCAAATACTCCATGGACTTATGTACCTATTCTAGTGCTTTGGGAACAGCTTTAATGCAGAGTGATTGTTGACACTAATGTTCATGAAATTTTTCCTCTTGAAAGCATTTTCCTAACACCCTTTCTTCCTGTTAACTCAAAGCTATGCTCAATATTGGATCAGATACAGGCAACAAGGAAGAATTAAGTAGTCATTATGAACAAATTACAACAGTCACAAAACATCTTTCTAGACACTTAAAAATAATTCTCACAAGACTGGAAAGGCAGTAAAGAATAGTCAGGAGACTTAAGACAAAGAGAGATATGTTAAGTTAGGCAGCTTTGAGTAAGTAGAGAGATAAGATGGTTGTGTGTAGGTGCGTATATGTGTGTGTATGGTGAAGGACTGCCAGTATATTTACTGCTTCTAGCCATTAATCTTTTTGTTCTACTAATATAAGTTGAAAAATATAATTTTTGTTTATAATTAGCTGAAAGACTTATAAGTAAATTATATGCTAAATGGTACTAAAAACTATGATTAGTTACTGCGGTGTGCTAAGTAGATATACAACAAAAAGGACATAATCAAAACTTTTTATTTTCAAGAAAATGTCAAAGGATATCCATGTGAAATGTGACATTTGAACAATTTGCCTGAGACAATCATATGACTGCTATTTTCATGTTTTGCATTTGAAGTAAAAAGTATTAAAATGTTTATAAATTCATGAATTACATTTTTAATACACACCTGCCAACGGAACACACTGCTTTACATGTGTAATAAGGTTGTCTGCTGGAGTTCTCAAGATCATAAAGTACAATCACACCATCTGAACCACCTGATAACATGCTAATAATAAAAAAGTTCACATTAATTTGTCATTTTATGTACTTCATTTATTATATATTTCTGAGAATTACTGATCCACAAACACCCAAGTGTATTATGCCCACAAATACAGAGTGAATCTTCATTAATAAAGATTTTTAATAAAGTAAAATTCCTCAACCTAGTATTTGTAGAATATACAAAGTTTCAATCTGTGACCATTTAAAGTTCACCTTTGTAATTCCAAAAAGGACAGAAACAAGATGGCAAAAGAGCTATCTTAATTAAGAAAGTAAAATATTATGAAGTCATTCTTAATGTCCTAATTAAAATTGTGATAAATGAAAATGGAATCAGTGAGACCAGCTGTTACTGATGCTAGCTGACTCTGGGCAAGTTACTTCACCTGTCTAAACCTTCAAACATTTCTGAAAAAGAGGACATTTTCATCTAAGTCATAAAGATGATGTAAAGATAAAAGTTATATGCAAGTGAGTTTTATACTGCCTCATAAAAAATAAATGACTAATAAATATTAGATTTAGTATTAAAAACACATTTACTCACTTTATTCAACTTTGTGCACTTGAAATATGTTAGGCACTCTGCTAATATAACTGTCCACAAGACAGGCACAGTTTCTGTCTTTCCAGAGTCTACAATTTAGCAGGAAAGACAGACAGATATATGAATTTATGTATCTAAAGGAAGAATTGCTATTTGTTAATCTTATTGTTCATAATCAAACCTCATGTTGCTGTCGCTCTACTCATTCTGGTTCTCTGATTTTACTCTTTGGTAAATTCCTAAGAAAGGGCTAATGAGAACAACAGGCCCTGAATTCTTGTATGTTCTTGACAATTTGTTCTTTTGTACTTGAAAATCAGTCTGGCTGGATATATAACCCTTGAGTCACGTTTTATTTCTCTGAACATCTGAGATAAGAAACTTCATTTCTTTGGGAATAAAGCCCCAAATCAGTTTAGTTAAAACAGGATTTTCTTTCCCTTATATCTAGTTTTAGATCTTATGTATTTTAGGAAACTTTTCTTGGATTATACCTTTAATATTGACTCTGTTCTCTTCCTTTGGGTTTCTTCTCTGGGAACTCCTATTAAATGTATGCTGGATCTTCTTTGTCTATCTCCCACATATGTCCCCATCTCTTGAATTCTTTATCTTTCTCCGTTTCTTCTTGATTTTTAAAAATACCCTCCTTCTACCTTCTATATCCAAACTATTACCTCTTGTATTCATTTGCTTGTGTTCCTTATGCTTTAGTCTTCATTTCTGAAACATTCGCCTTTTATTTCTAATTTTTTCTTGAGTTTCTTCATCTCATTGCTGAGTTTTCTTAATTCCAACTTAGGTGATTCTTTCAGATCTTTTATCTTTTTAAAATGACTTTTAGCTAGTTTTAAAATATTAGGTTAGAGTTCTCAACTATTTCACAGGAATATCTTTCTGGCACAGCTACACTGTCTAAAGGGGCATTACTTAGTTTCTTTGTTCTTAGACTAATTTTGAATGGACTTTGATTTTAATCCTATTATTTTGCTCATATTTGTATGAAATTAATTTTCTTAAACTTTTAGAAAGGAATCTTGGTTTAGAATAATATTTAAATGTTGTATCTATAGAATATCTTCCTCCTCCTTTTTTATAAGATGTTCAATACATGGCACCTCACTTTCAGAGATTTCTTGGTTCTGTTCACCTCCTCAATTTTTATCTGGGCCATCTTTTCCCTTTGTTTCTATTGTCCCTATACTGCTCAGTTTGGATTCTATTCCGAGCAGTTTCTTCTCACTATAGGGTTTTGCCCTTTAGGAGATCTTAAGTTGATGAGCTGGAGAGATCAGTGGGCCCAGACTGCTCCAGCCCCTTCCAGTCTTACTGTGAAGCCCCTAATCATTGGGAGGAGGTCATCCTCTCCATGTCACCCCCTGTAGTCAAATTAGCTTGCTGAACTTCCAAGTAAGGTTGGTTATTTTGGAGTTATCAGGTCTACTAGGTGCTCCACTGGTTTTTCAGTGTCTCTTCTGATATAGATGCTGATACCACACAGATCTTGTAAATATGGATGATTTGTTCCCACTCATCCATATTTTGTGGGTTGTGGGGATATTTGATCACTTATACTCGTTCTAAGTGTTATACATTAATTTTTTTATATTACCCTCTTTAGTTTCCTTGTTAAAGTGCAAGATAAGGAGCCTGTGCCACACATGAACACAATTCTATCTTCACTAAGAAAGTCTTGTTATGAAAAATAAATTGTGTGCTTAGTGATGTACTAAACTTACATTCTGGTACAAGCTCCTTATCTTGTTAACCAGTTACAAAGGGTTCGTGAACCAGCGGCATGTGCAAATAGCACTGATTTATAGACTTGTTTTAAGAAAAATTCAATACCAATTTGTAGAACAATAAGGTTTATTTAAAAGTAATTCTTCAAAGTTCTTTGCTGAAACAGTTCTAAAAATCTGATTGGTGGGTAGTAAAAAAGGACAGCAAGTAATACCATGCTAAAGTGTTCACCACAAAACTTTCGTTTAACTAAGTATTTATATAGGAAAATATTTATAAATTTTAACAACTACAATTTTTATTTTCATTGATAGAATTTTGCAGCTTATTTGGACACAACTATGAGTTACATGTATACCAAAACCAGTTCTGAAAATATTTTTGCTTCCTATTTGAATTTTGTGAAATACTTTTTTTTTTCACCATGGCACATGGATTCTCAATGCAAAAACAAAAAATTATATTCAAAGGTGAACATCTTAACTGAATTTAAATTGTATTTATAGTGATGTCACATGCTTCATCTTTGCTAGAATGATTTCCAAAAGCTTTCCTTGGATTCTATTAATTGGTTGAAACAATTGAACCACTATTGGAATTAAATGATTCTGTATTTGAAGGATCTGTGGACAATGACATTATTTAACTGTGAGGTTATTATTCTGCTCACAGAGTAATTACAGTAAGAGATATAACTTCGTGTTTTTATATGGACAAGAAAACCTGGTATTAAAGATGAACAATAACTTAGAAGAATTTAGAAGATATCAAAGAAAATTCAAGCTTCAAAGAATGATATGCAAATGTACCTTATGCAATTGCACTTGTTAAAACATTATTTTCAGGGAGACTTCTTAAAATAACTCCTAACTTTGGAAATAAATGCTTCTTTACCAGATGTGTATATTCTGGTTTCTGGTTTTCAGTGATATCACTACAACTCTCATGGTGGTTGGTAAATATTAAAAAGTATTTTGAGCAAATTATATATGCACTGACTTTCTTAGGAAAAACATCAAGATTTAATTTTCCATTAAACATATATTTTGCTTTTTATTACTCTCTTTGCTGCCAAAAGGATTTAATGCAAAATACAAGTCTTGGCAAACAAATGAAATAGTTACAGATTTCACTATAGTGAAGTGTAGTGAGAATCTTGACTTTTCTCAATATGCTCTGCAAAAAGACTCCTCAGCCTGTATTTCTCACACATATTTTATGCACATATAATCTGAGAAATCAGATTTCTCATCTTTCTCATTAACTCTGACAACTGGTAACCTACTGGCTTCATGTACTTCACAAGTTAGACAAATGATCTCTATTCTAAATGGCTGGCTGGAGAAGCAGTACTGAATATCTTTTCCACCAGCACCCATGACCAAAAGAAATCAGTTATCCCTTTCTGTTTGTGTCATTATTTTATAAGCAAATGGCCCTCAGCTGACCTTGAATGGGAGGTTTATGTTTGCATCTGGAAAACTTCAGAACAAAGAAAAGAATTATCGCTGATCATCTTTTAGATGTAACCATGTGCTAAAGTGAGAATGTGTTCACTGTACATGTTTCCCATATACTACTAGGTGGGACTATGACAGTGGCTGAAAATTAAAACCAGAATTCTTCAAACCTGTCTGGTTCATTTTAATGTAAATAATAGTAACACTTCATTGTAATAAAAAACTGTGGGACAATGCTAAACATATGATACAACAAACTTCAGTCACTGTTATACTTGTTCTAATTATAGACCACATGAAGCTTTTTGAACTTTCTTGTAAAAGTAATAATGGGATCAAGATGTTTTAAGTGGGGGGATGGCATGTTCATAGTTGCATTTTTTTCTTTTTCTTTTTTTTAAAGATTTTATTTATTTGACAGAGAGAGACAAAGTGAGAGAAGGAACACAAGCAGGGGGAGTGGGAGAGGGAGAAGCAGCCTTCCCGCTGAGCAGGGAGCCAGATGTGGGGCCCTGGGATCATGACCTGAGCTGAAGGCAGACGCTTAACGACTAAGCCACCCAGGCGCCCCAATATTTGCATTTTTCAAAGCACTCCAGCTGTTGCATGGAGAAAGGACTGAAAGGAGTAAAAATACAGGTGATAATATTTTTGATTAAGAGGAGTGGAGGCAACCATTAATGATATGCCAGGTCCTATGCTAATCATGTTACACATATAATCTCAATTAAATCACAACAAACTTGTTAGGTAGCTGTTATTGTTAGCATTGTATATAGCTAAGGCAACCGAGAATTAAAAAGGTTAGGTCAATTGCTCCAGGTCACTTAGCTGCTAAGTGATAAAGCCCAGAAGGAGCTCAAATAAAGGTCTGGATTTCTTCAAGCTTAATTTTCCAACATAGAGTTTCACTTTTTATATTCTATTTGTTTTCCCGTTAGACTCCTTCAGAGTAGCAACTGTTTTAAAATGGTACCTAAAGCACACACCCCAGCACTTAAAAGCCCTCTGTATCCAAAGAAGTTCAATGTCTGTTACGATGAATATATTTATATAAAGTAGTTTGGAAATATTTACCTGGAAACATTTTAAGGGTGTGATGTTTTGTATTTATTTAAATTAGTAATGTCAGACTTAAAATGCTACAATTTAGAAATTTTACTACTTTTTATGAACCTTTACATAAGTAACCTGAAAGCAAGATTTTACTGCATCTCACTTTGAACAACAAAATGACTGTTTAAGTGTAATAAACTTACTATCTTGCTTCAATCGGTTCAATGTCAAGGGTGTTAATTCCACTGCCATGGATCCTTTCAACATCTCTGTCTTTGTTTAACTCCAGTCCCAAAACCCTTGAAAAAAATAAAAATGGAAAGGGGGGGAAAGAAAGATAAAACTAAACAATGATAAAGTAATTTAAGCATTAAAAACATCCTTATTTCACCAAAATTACATGTAGTACAAAAATTGCAAGTAATGCTTAAATCTTCTACCACACATTCAAAAGTATTTATAGATTTTTGAAAACCTTATACGAATTTTAAAAATGCCAACAGTACTAACAATTATATATAAAGAATTTCTCCAAAGCATTATCTTAAACTTCATTTAAAGGGATACTTCATTAAGTTTTTATTAAAGTATTTAGAGACTGAAATAAATTTTAATGAACAAAAAGTTAAATTCTGGTATCTTAAACTTAACTGAGGACACCTAGTGGACAAAAGCTTAAATTACAGTATTTAAAAAAAATTTCCTGAAGTGTTTCTTATGTTTTAGGTAGAAACAAAATGACTATGTTCAACAATTAAGCACACTTTTTAAGAGCCAATTAAATATCTATAAAAAGATGAATAACAAGTACTCTTACAAATTAAGATGAATGAAATTTCTGATATTGCATAACTGTAAACCATTTTTATGTAAAGTGCTCATTACAATGACTAGTAAGTACCCAGTGAATGTTAACTATTAGAATTTGTCTTGGTCTGTTGGATGTTAGAGAACATTTACATTAATTTAACTAGAATGATTTCTAAATTCATTACTGACCAACATGATGCTATCTATATGAAAATTTTTAGCCTATTTGTCAGTTTTATTTTTTAAAAAACAATGCACAGTGCTAGAAAAAATACAAACTGATACTTTTATGTCCTCACAGGAGCAGTATTAATAATTATAAACATTTTAGTAATCATTTTAGCATATCAAATGTTTGATTTAAAGATATACACAGGTTTTTGTCTTCTGGAACAGTCTAGCCTTAGGTTCAAATATCCAGTCTAACATTTACTACTTTTCTGACCTTGATCAATAACAGTAACAGCCAACATTAAGAGCCTACCATTTGCTGACACTGTGATTAGTGGTAATAAAAAGTGTAATAAGTGGTAATCTGAAGTGATGGATTTCCTAGATGGTAGGTTATATTAGTAACTGCTCTTCCTGATGATAAAACTAAGACATAAGTAATTTGCCCTAGGTCATACATCTAATAATTGCTTGAACTTGGATCTGAACTCTGACACTTTCTCTCCAGACCATTATGCTGTTCTTCCATTTCTGAGCTCCAATATTTCACCAGAAAATAACTGTTCACATTTTCCAGTGAATTCCCATTTCTTCTTAAAATATTTTTCTATTTTTCATTTTTATTTTACTTCATTTTTTTGAGAGAGAGAGAGAGAGAGAGAGCATGCGTGGGGTGGGGGGCGGGCAGAGGGAGAAGGAGAGACAGAATCTTAAGCCCCAATGCAGGGCTGGATCTCACAACCCTGAGATCCTGACCTGAGCCAAAATCAAGAGTCAGACACTTAACTGACTGAGGCACCCAGGCGCCCCTATTTGATGATTTTTCAAATAATAACAGTAATCTGTGCTTCTTGTAACCAGTAAAATATCATACAAACATGGACAAAGGTAATCACCCCTTCCTTGAGTTCCTTTCTCTGAACAGTGAGAAATGTAGCTCCCACTATCATTAATATGTTTATTTATTTGATCAATGCCACTGAACGTAACCAATCTCCCATCACCAATACCATCTCCATCCCCAACAAGAAAATTGCTCACCAGGCTTGGGGTTTGATTTCTGCCTCCCCTAATACTCCTAATCACCTGGGCTTGTCAGTCCCCACAATCAGAGTACCTCCTCAACCTGCTCAGGGTCTCCAATATCACTCTAAACCAATCTAATCCCAGCCTGTGTATGGAAGCCTACTTCTGCCCAACCTAAAGACTTTAGGACTGAATTTTTAGGGAACTAAAAGGGGTTAAATGAAGGAAAGTAAGAGGGTAAACAGGGGAGGGTGTTTGTGGAAGGAGGCAAGGTGTGCAAAAGAGAGTTAACATAGCATGCCAGAGACTGCTGTCCTTTAGAAAGCCTACTTGCAAGATTGGACTTTGTCTGCTTCTGTGATTGCAGGAGGGTTTATTTTTTATTGTTATGTTAATCACCATACATTACATCATTAGTTTTTGATGTAGTGTTCCATGATTCATTGTTTGTGCATAACACCCAGTGC